GTGGGAGGGACTGTGAAACAAGCTACCCAGCTATGTTGTTGAAGCCGATATCCGGGGTTCATTCAAAAAAAGGCAGAAAGAGATCTTCAGATCAATCATCTACTATCTCCCGAATGGGTTAGAAGGTCTGAATATCCTTCTCTCCGTTGTAATGTACTGTACTATGTAAACTGTTTTCTCTACAGGAAGGCAAAAGTTTAGACATCATGCTGAAGACATCATCGACTAAATTAGTACACATTTGTAGCATATCCCTCTTATACTTTTTAAACTGCTCTTATCGAATCCACACGACCAATCTGCATCCTGTACCAGAACCCAGTTGCAGCTGGTGAACAGAAGACAGCCATGTTGCTTTGGATTCATTCCAGCAGGGGAAGGGTTAAGGGGTTGACTGTCAGCATGAACAATTATTGCCCACCATTACGCCAACCTCAGGAATGGGACACAGAGTAAGAAATATTGCACATCGACCTATTGCTTCCAATTTGTGGCTGCATGTCATTTAAATCACTTAACAAGGTCGCTGTAGTGAACCGCTGGAGGAGTGTGCTGTCACAATGATAAACAGACATGGCAAGAAAGAATTAATCTCACCATTCCTTAATACATTGCAAACATCTGCCTCCAGCATCCCAGTGGACAGTCCCTGGACTGACCCGGAAAACCAACTTCATTCCTTCTTGCTCCCATTGCAGCACTTTTTCAATGGCCCACTCCTTCTAAGTTGAAATTCTCTGGAAGATTTTTCCCTGCTCCTGACATGAGCAAAATCCGCAGGTCTGTGCCTGTTGATTTCAGCTAACTGTACACATCCCTCTGCAGATATTTCTGTCACCTTTCTTACAATACTTCACATTCAAGTCATTCAAGAAGTAAGTATGTATACTTCACATTCTATGCAGGAGTGTTTGCTGTTACATCTTTGTCGATGGGTTCTGCGCTGATTTGGAAGATAGTGACACTTGTCCAGTCTGGAGGGTGCTCGTGTATTGTATGCAGGAGCTCTCTGCCTCTGTGGATGTGGGCTTGAGGTCAAAAATACCCTCCTATATACCCTAACTAGTCAATGGAAGGTAAAGAACTGAAGCATACTCACTTGCATTTTTATTTTCCATTTCTACCTGCTGTAATGGACACACTATACATATTAACAAGCAATGCCAAGTTGTACGTTGTCTAGTTTTCCTTTCAGTATACAGTATATCTCATGTGTCCAGTATATATGCGTTCTCCAAACAATAAAGCAGTAGGAAAACAATTTGCTATAGGAATACAAAATACTGTGAATGGTGTACCCTAGTACTCTAGGATTAGACTTGTCAAATAATGTTTTACTGTTATTTGACAAGTCTAATGGTAGAGGTACTCTACCTGTTACCTGTTCATGGAGAACAATTCAAAAGACAAGACACCCAGCAGGTGTCAGTCTGAATCTGACAGAGACCATTACATCAGATCCTGTGGAGCCCCAGGCCAGTTATTTTTATAGGTCACTTTAAATCACCTGCTATTTAAAGATTAGGAACACCTCTTTATGCATTTGATCAATTCATGAAATCATGTTTCAAAGAAGTGAATTCAGGTTTTTGGTGGCTGAAAGATTCAGAGTCAGATTTTTGTTACAAATAATCTCTCTAGATTACTTAATTTAATACATCACCTATTTAATTGATCACAGAAAATGAGGATTTAAAGGCTACATATAAAACCTGCCGGACTGGGGATCTCTGAGACTAGGCATGGAGACTCTGTTTCCAGAATCTAGACAAGTTCTTCAAATTCACATGCTTTGTGAAATGTGAAATGGGAGGACTGTCAATCACAGAGTTTTTCCCACACCCAAGAATTTGAATTGTCTAAAATTGGAAGGGACATTACTTTAAATCCTAGTGTTTCATAAAATGTGAAACTTTCTCTTGTGTCATAATAGGATGTACTTTAACATGTTTGACCCCACTCACATATGCTTCCTCCTTATTTTGTGGTTCCCTTTGCAGTCATACTACAATATGAGTAATTCTGTACTTAATTTGACTTTGATTTATAAAGCAAACCAGCTGTCTAATAGGGCAATTCATCCTGACTTTTATCATACAAACTGAACACTATGGATATTCTGCCAGCATAACATTAGAGTTATTAATGTTTCTATAATCCCTACAACACAGGCCAACTTGCGCAGTTATCCTAATTATACTGATGTCCCAAATACGCACTAGGGTGTTAGAGAGCCTCCACAAGTTCTGCACAAGTTCAGTGAACAATGAACTGTACTGTTAGAATGAGCAGAAACACCAGGGAGAAATGACGTATACTGTGTTGCGCAAACTGTTAACAGCAGTTACAGTATATCATATTTTTGGAATATTTGTTTTACATTTTATTAAAAAAAGAACTACAGCAACCTTTTCCTCCATTTAATATCAAGAAATGTCATATCTATCATCCAATTCTCCTCTAGACTGCTTCAGTGAGGCTCAAGTATATACTATATGGCAAGCTTTGGTTCTGCTTTGTGGAAGAAAACAATTTGGACTAATAGTCCAAGAAGTGTTCAGGATCCCAGGCTCATTCTTATGGCAGGCTGGGAGAACAATCAGGGGCTGTGGCCAATTATCCTTCATCAGGAAGAGCCCCAGTTAGCACTAACCCCAAGAAAGGTATGGAGAAACTCCAGTTTCTCCAACACATGCTGACCGCAGACAACAGCAGCACAAAACCAGCCCAGAGTGCAGGAGCGAGGTGAGGCACGCAGGGGATTAAAGGCAATAAAAAAAAAAAGTGACAGACAGCAGAAAGCCTTCCATGGAGGCAGCTGAAAGGCAGGGTCAGGCCTGGCAAAGGAAAGAGCTGCGCTCAGCAAAAAGACAAAACACTAAAATCGAAGCCTCACAGGCCACACAGAAATAAAACGGCTCTGTGTTGACCGCATCATGCCGGGCTGGGGAGGTTTGTGTGACAGGATTGCTCTATGAAGACTCCCGAGCAGAATACTCACTCCTAACACTCGAGACTCCATTTCTCACACAGGTTTAATGCTCAAACGAGCAAAGCAACAGCCGGGTCTCAAGAAAGTCCATCCGCCGACTATATTCACCCATTTTCTTAATGGTGTGAATATGGTCTCTCATCTGGAGTGGATTGCTAACCTTTTCCCTTAATTACGGCAAAAAGCGGAAAACTGAGAATTTTGGTCTCATTGCTTGTTGGGATTGAATAGGTTAGGAAGGAAATTATTTTAATTCCTGGGAACTGTGTGCAAATTTAGATGCAAAGGCTTGTTTTTGATCGTGGGATTGTGCTGTATTATCGTAAGAGCAGTCCTGGGAAATGTGGTCCTATTTGATTGGCTCCACTAGTCAAATCTTGACTGGAAATCCTGCCTGTCCCAGTCTTTTGGATCAGGAAATTCAGGATGGTCTTTGGAGTGGTATTGTAATGAAATGTGCAAATGCTTCATCCTGATTCTCATACTGAACGTAACTGTTGAGGTATATTGAGAAAAATGAACATAAACAAAGTAGAGATGTGTGAACAAACTTTTTTAGTACATGTCAGCACTGGTTAATCCATGGTATGATGTTACGTCTATAAGTCCTTGGTATGGATGATGCATCAGAATGGACTGAGAAAAGGTATCTTTTTTGCTGTAGAATTGCTGTACAAGCCTGTTCCGGTACCATAATCTGTATTAAAGCAATTACTGTTTGCCACATCCCATATGATTGTGTCCTCACTCCACCTTCCAGACACTTTTTCTTAATTACAGTGTTTGTATTCTGTCACCTTGACGTGTTGGAATAATACTCCTTTCTAATCGAAGGCCTGAGGACAACACTTGAATGTTCTCCCAGTTGCACCATGAGAAAAACATCAGGGTGGCACCCGACCAGCGTGCCTGCTGCCAGTCTATTTGTCCTCCTGTAAGACGTCTCGTAATAAAAGATCATGGAACTATCCAACCATTAAGATGCCCTTAGACCAGGGGTTCCTCGGCGTGGTCCTGGGATCTCTACACCTGCTGGCATTCATCGCACAAACCCCCAACTGAACCAACCTGGTTTTTTCTACTCAAAGGCTGGCAGTTTTGCTACTTAAGAGACCTGGTAGCTAAGAGACCTCCTACATGTCTAGGACCTGAAAACAATTAAAGAGTTCAAATTAAACCAGTTATTAGGTCTCTTAAGTGTCCGATTATTTGATAGAGAGCTCGGGTGTAACAAAACCAGCTTGTGTGTCCCTCTCCAGGACGAAGACAGGGAAGATAAGGAGAGTATTCTTCCTGTCAAAGATAGGACAGTCTGCTCCAACCTAAGATGAATAGAACCTGTTTTCAATAAGTTTGATAACTATGCCACCTTTTATGTAAGTTAATGTAACTTTTTAAAAGTAATTGCTTAATTTTCACATGCGCTCACCTAACCTTTTAAGATTTATGACACTGGGCTTATCCACTATTATGGAATAAAATGTAGGATTTTTGGTAAGCTAGAATTAGATTTCGATTAAGTTTCTAGACCAAGAACTTGATCAGAAAGTTTTTTCCCCCTAGCGAGAGAATATAGCATAAAATAATTGGTGAAAAATAAAGGCATTTTGAAGCGTTGAAAATTCTCTCTTAACAAAAAAACATGCTTCTTTTCTCTCAAGCTAGAAATGACGCACTGTCATATGTTAACAATGGGCAAATGGTAAGAGCTTATCTACATGGCTGACTGGAGACATGCCTGTACTGCTACAGTACTGTACCTCTGTATGATCTTCAGCACGAAGAAGATACATCTCTTCAAAATGTGGCAATTATTACAAAGACGACCAATTCCTCCACCTCCAGATTGCTGCCTCACGTGAAAAGCTGGACAATGTTTTCATTTGCATCCCCAAAAAATAAATGAAGATAAGGGTGATATTTTTACAAAAAAGTGAAAAGAAAAACAGTTCTAAAAACTCTGCAAAATCCAGAAACAGATCAATAAATCAGTGCTTGCAGACATTTCTAGTATGTGCAGAAGAAACCCTTTATTGTAACTGTGTGCATATTTTAGTTTTTTATAGATACGTTTCACTCACTTTCAACAGGACTTTAAAATTTACACAACATTCTGTAAACAGAGCTCAGTTAACCAGGGCAAGTCCAAGTCTCCTCAGTATTCAGTTGGCACAGTTTACACTGAAGTACACAGTTCTTATATCTTCTTATTTACAGAAAACACCATGATATACCAGCAGACGAATACATTGAAAATAGACTTTACATTCACGTCTCATTATAAACAATTTGATAAATACAAGATTAGATATACCAAAAGAATATATACTGTATATATTTATATAACACACATACAATATTTTAATATATAAGTGTGGCTTGCTTCCTACTAGGTTCAGATATTTTTTTAACAGAAGAGTACATTTTTTTGCTTTTTTAAAAACTCAATAAATTATGTAAAAAAATATTAAAAACATTAAAAAACAGCATGTTGGTTAAGCGGGGAAATGGAAATTTGGCTAATCTTACTTTTTGGTTTCAGAATTCTAGTTTGCTTAAAACCTTAAAAAGAAAAGTTCTCGTTTTCTGCTAAATTCGGCTTCTAGACCTGCCCTTGATGTTTTCACACTATTCACAACTCAAAAGACCTCCTGAAGTATTGAAAAGCAACAAGTTGTGTGCATCAGAGACATTGACACACACTCTCCACATACTCATTAACACTCTCTGGAAGAAAGTTGCATTGCAAGATGTACCGCAGCATTGCGGAGTGAGGAAATGGGAATCATAAAAGCTAAAACAAAGTAGGAATAAATGATGAGGAAACTAAATCCCATTTTGTCAGATAAATCCATTTTGTTATACATATTTTAAAGGCTAATCACTATAGATAGAGAATATAAAAGGTCAACTACATCAATCTGCACTGTAGAAGCTAACAACATTTTTAAGGTTTCTCCTTTCCTCTCATCTTCCTCTAAGGACCCGTCTCTGATGTTTTGTAATGATGACTAACCTAAACAAGCTTTTAAAGACGATTGTACACAAGTCCCTTAAGGGTTTAAAAATCCGTTTTTGGATTCAGAGGCACAGTGAGTAGCACAGGTACAAAGACAGTCTTAAACACAAATACCAAAGCTCAAGAAGGGAAGTTATCCTCTTCATACCACTACAGTGAGGAGAGAACGTCCCATTAAAATGCCCTTTTAATAACATCAAATCCTGTCCTAGCGGCTACTGCTATTGTCATAAAGAATTAATCATGAGCAGGGTTTTACTTCTAGGTTTTATTCTCAACAGATTTTTCAAATTAACAGCAAGATGAATTTTGTTCCGTGCAACGCGTCTGTTCCGGATCAACATGTAAGGACCCCTATAGACTTGCCGGACGGTGCTCACTGCCACCTGCTGAGAAGGGCACTCCTGTATAAATTATGCGCTTTCCTTGGACATGGCCAGTAAAGAGGAGAGACAACACTTTACAATCGGTGTGTGGAGCTGTCCCACAGACATGCAGCCAAGCAGGACTCCTAGCAGGAGGGAGTAATGCCTAGGACTAGAACCACTCACCACTTATTTTTATACTGTAGCTGAACCATAAACCACCAGTTTCTACACCCCACTAACATGGGTCACGTGTGACCATTTCTCTGACAAGGGTAGCACATGTTTGGCTCAGTTAAATATTGTAGTTAAGATATCATTTGAAATGAAAATGCCAACGTCTTGTAGCTCTCGAGGACAACGACTGACAATTCCTGACTTGAGTGAACCAATTTATACATTGATCAAAACTCGCACACAGTCCTGGCTTCTACAAATCGAGCACTTAAGGGGAACCTCCACCCAGGATGGTGGTTGTCTGGATCTCAAGGATGAAGGCCTCTGAATTCCACTTGAAACTGAATTTCAACCAGGTCAATTGCATTACCCTCTAATCTGGGAAGTCACTAACAAAAGGCAGACTGTCACTAACAGGAGCTGTGTAAATGTGTAATTATTCTTGCACTGCGTATTTTGATTCTGGCTTTCTAAATTGCAATATGCTCCCTCGGAAGTATTACTAAAACTGCTGGGCAAACAAAGGCAAACTAAAGATCAGCACCAGCAACCCGATTTCCTCTCCATTCATGAGGTTTCCAGCCGCAGTGGTGAGGGCTGTCAGTGTAGGGGTGCAAGGCAGTGGGTTCCAATCTTGCACGGGATGTGACTTCTGATTTGCTTCAGTAAAAAAAAATGTCCTGCTTGATTCATTAAAAATGACTAAATCAGATTTAAAATTTTTTACCTGGCAGGTTCTCCTAAAGAAATGCATCTGCTGCTCTAGGTCTGTGGAGCAACGGCCGAGTAAGTGAAAGCCGAGATGCTCTCATCCCTGGGGCTCAGCTGGGTCCATTGCCTCACTGCGAGGCAGGGGAGCCAGAGCAGTGGTCAGCAGCAGTCTTCCAAAGCTGCCCGCACCCAAATGACCTGGGAGCTGCACGCTTCAGAGAATGGTTTTCTTAACTGATTGGTAAAGACGGTGATTAGGAGGTGTTGGATTAAAAAGACCCAGAATCTGGGTCTGCCTGCTCAATTTCCCAACAGTTCCCCTGACCTGAAGAGAATGGCACAGCTAAAGACAGCAGTGTCCTATACTGAACCCACTGAGATAATGCTGCAACTGTCCTCATCCTTCATGTGGGTGAATTTGATAAATGTGACCTGGGCATGAGGTGAAAACGGACCATGCAAAGTAGCACCTGAAAAAGTAGAATTCTTTTTAAAACTGAAAGATACCCCTAGTCATTCCAGAAATCCCAGTGATGCCAATTGCTGTTTCCATTGTGGAAGAAATTGGAGAGCCTGACTGCCCAGAAGGGAAGCCACTGACATCACCCTGACAAAACGCCACCTAGGACCGCCATACAACAGTTCTGACTGCTGAGGTCTTGTCAGTTATGAGCTCCTGAAATGATGTCTCACGGACAGCGAGATAGAGATTTAGAGTTATATTCTGGGTAGCTTCTGATCAGAATTTATCATTTGGTTTCAAAGCGGACATCAGCATATTAAGAAAGTGGAAAAACAAATCAGACCTTACAAGCCTGTAGGGTCTTCTCACTGGTTTGATATGCATCAGTATCACTCCCTAAGACTGGTTTGGTTTTGTATTTCTTCCTTAGAATCCCCCCCCCCTCCAAGTAGATGTGCAAAGAACAAATATACCATTAAAAATGCTGAAAAATAAATAAGTTAAAAGAAAAAAAAAAGACTGGATCCTCAGAGATCCTCAGAGAGTCTCTGTCTCCTGCCACTTGAGGTCAAAAAGGATTTTTTGCCACTTGAAAGTAAAAAAATGAAAATAAGTTAAAAATAAATGTACTTAAAAGGTAGAGTAAGAAAGCCATTGTGGCCATAAAAGAACAGTCCCGATACCATGTCTCGCTGAAGACAAAAGAGGATAATGTTGGTTCAGTGCTGAAGGGTCTCTCCTAGGAGGTCCCTTTTCAGAGGAACCACAGGTGCACTGGGCTGGAGGTGGACAGCCTTCTCCGAACACCTGCAAACTCCAGGTGTGCACGCCTCATATAGCCAGCCAGTGCTTCAGCTGAGGAAACACCAATTTAACAGCGGAAAGGGAAAAGAAAAGGCAAAGAGGAAGAAAAACACATTACATCCTTGCTATGTCCTTGGCGTTTTCAGTAATTGCCATATTAATTCATTATACGTTTTATCTTGTTGCCATGGTGCCAAGCATCATCTCCCGAAAATCAATAGACTAACTTGGCAAAAGGAAGAGGTGATACCGAATCACTTTGTTACATAGTTACTGTAAACTAATGACACATGCTGCATCTTTTCCGTACACAAAAATCCTTTACATTAGTGCCAATTCTGGACTTTAATCACACTTTGCTTACTGTAGATCACATCAGCAAATGATCGCTTTACTCTCAGAAGACACGCACTAATTATACTAATCCCATCGGTTCTCTCCGAGAGGCAATTAAAAGAAATAAACAGAACCACAGCCACAGTCCTCCAATTTAGTAGGTACTCTAACTGGTTTGATAAAAGCTATAAAATGTTTCCAAAAGCTTAAGATACTGTCTGAAATAATTACATAAAAAGGCTAATTCTGAAACTCATTGAGCACGCAGGCTGTCCCTCAAGTATGGAAATGGCACTCATTTTTGTAAATAAGTGCTTAGAGTTTTATTAAGCTGTGCAATGCCTTTTAAAAGGTTTTAAGGTTTTTAGCATTATTCTGATGTTTATATCTCAAGTAACTCTGGTATTACTTGGTAATACAGTATTACTGGTAAAGCAGCATTAGCGCAGTACATTGCTCAAGTGTATAACAAAAGTGCTCTCACCCAGGATTTAAAAATGAAACCTTCCAGTTACAAGTCCAGAGTGGCTTAGGGTGACACATTATGGCAAAAACAAAGTATGATGAACTTTACCATAGAAGATACAGTTCTATGGCAAAGCAATATAGCCACCACATGAATCAATGCACATCAGGTGAAAGAAGATTTTTCTGAAGCTGTGCTAATTTCTCATAGCTGGACTTCAAAATGTCGGAAGGATTTTCCAAGAATATGCTTGTCAACATCAACAGGTAACGGTGTGTCTGGACTCACCTTGAACTGCCTGATATTCCCCTCAGCCACAAGGTGGTGCTCATGCTCAGGGGTGATGCAGTAAGCTATCCTCTGAAATTACACACATTGCCATAGTAAAAGACCATGCCAGTGAAGACTGCGCTTCAAGAAAGAGACATCACAAAGAAAAGTCTATTTTGAGATATGGCCAAGTGGAAGAAAGTGAGTTGTCACAGCTATACACTGAACAGGCAATATGCCTTATTTTATGGTTGCAGATATCCCCCCTGAGTGTTAATTTTAATATTGTGACTAACTGACAACAACCTGGAGATGATGTCCTGCACATTGATTTTCAAAGCGTTTTCTTCCTTTTTGTGAGCAAAATTGATTTTAAAATCTTTCACACTCAATACAACGTATCTTTTCTCCACACAGTGCTGCTCCTCACAGGCCTGTCCTTTCTGAGTTCTACCAAAACCTGGATTAAAGTTTATGGCAAGTCTGAGCACTACTAGAACCATTCTTGTTATCTAAAAAAAAACCCAACAAAAGCCATTTGGTTTAGATGAAAAACGTGGTTTCAAATGGCTTGTATTGCATTGACACTGTCAAGTCTTAGACAATCAATCTTGCGCAGTTGGCCACCCCAGTTCCAGTAATGTAAACCCAGTTGGCATATTCTGCCTTACAATATTTGCCAATATTGTGCGAACTATTCAATCACTGGAGGATATCTGAGTGAAACAGCAGGCCCAGCACTGACCTCTCGGCATGTCCCCCGCACACTCAGGAACTTGTAGATGGCATAGATGGGCACAAAGAGCATGGACGACAATGCAATCCCCCACCCAATCAGGTTCGCCCATGAGGGGAAGATGTAGTCATCGTATTTAAGCTCAGTGGAGTTCACGATACTGGCAATCACCACAAACTGAAAAGACAAGGCAGAGTGAAAGCTGCATCAGACCCCTAGGGTGAGCACGAGAGCCCTGTTGGAGTTCCTGTATGACAATAACACATCATGAATTAACCACACCTGAACAGAGACTGAGAACTATATATCTAATCAAGTTTCTGGGCCCTAGAAACAATTTAATGGTGTAAAACGGATACAAAATGTGGCGTTAAGTATACATTTCTGAGCACAAGTTTGGTACAAACAGGTATGAAAATGTCTGAGGCGAAAGGTAATACAGCCTTTTTGACTGTATTGCACCTGTTGCTGCAAGCACTGCTGAGAAATGATCCTGGAGGGTCTATAAATGAACCCGCGAGGCCTGCGGTTGAAGCACATTTCAGCATTACTGCACATTGATTTTCAAAGCGTTTTCTTCCTTTTTGTGAGCAAACCTTTATCGATTTTAAAATCTTTCACACTCAATACAACGTATCTTTTCTCCACACAGTGCTGCTCCTCACAGGCCTGGGTACAGGCCTGTCCTTTCCGAGTTCTACCAAAACCAGATTAAAGTTTATGGCAAGTCTGAGCACTACTAGAACCATTCTGGTCGCTATCTAATAAAACGATCCTGGAGGGTCTATAAATGAACCCGCATTGCCTTCGTTTGAGCAGCAATTCTGTAACGAGTTCTCTTCCAACTGAATGTCAAAGGCTGCAGAGGCCACCTCTGTGCCCTGGCAAGGTGTAACCATGAAAATGCCAATGGATTTAAATCCCATAAGACACATGTTAGCTTGCCTTATTATTTAGACCTGACGTGCACCAGCTGTGCAGACGACGAACTGCCAAATTTCCTATATTTCATCAAGCTGATGCAAAGCGCTTAGATCCCCTTGAAAAGGTTAGGCTAACAAACTCCTGTTGAAAGATGGCTTCTGATTAAAGCACACTCTCCTCGCTTTCCCATTGTTTTCAGATTCTTTCTAATGGGAAGCAGACTTTCTGCTTGACTAACTCAGTGACAAAGAAACAATAGAATCCAAAAAAAAAAAGGAGTTTTGAAGATAACATGGGAATGCAGTAACAGCTCTTGACAGAGAATGTGTTTTTAATTATCCCCACAATTAGGTAAAGGACAATACGCAACTGTAACTCATAGCCAGAAGACATTTAAGTCACTGAAAAACACTTAAGACTAAACACACAGCTATAAATGCTGAGCTATGAGAACTATTGGGTTTAAAGAGTTTCAACATGCTTGTTCCTAGTGCCTATATTGCACATATTTCACACTGCAAAATAAAGCTATATTATATATTATATTGCAGTATAATATATTACTCTACATGCTTTTTTGGAGACAATTTAATCTCATCTACATGAGAAAAAATACTTTTATAGATTTCAGCTATAGTATTTGTTCATTTATGCTTCTATCTGTATGTTATTGAAGTAAAATTTAAAAGCAGCAGCAAATCAGTTCTTTTGCAACAAGAGAGGCCAGCACAGTGGCACAGTGGTTAGCACTACTGCCTCACATGGCTGGGGCCCTGGGTTCAATCCCTGGAGTGCTATCTGCTTGGAGTTTGTATTATATTTTCTCCCAAGTGCTCTAGTTTCCTCACAAAGTCCAAAAACATACTCGTAGGTTAACTGAAAATTCAGGCTCCAGCTCCCTCAAGACCCTGAACTGGATAAAGGGGTTAGAAAATGGATGCATGGATGAAACAAAAGACACCAAGTTTTTCAGCTCCTTTGATTAGTGGCAGAATTGCAAACTTATTTGGCGAGAGAGCCTCAACAGTGGGAGCGTCAGGAAGGGCTTGCACTAAACGAGGGAGTGATTCCCGAGATGGAAGGAAAGAGCAGACAGCATGAGAGCAGCATCCCACAGCGTACCAGCAGGAAGGCTGGGCTGACGAATTTCCAGCACAGCCTCCAGTAGAGTCCTGGCTTGAAGCCCATCATGCGCTCGATGTCCTCACTGAATCTGTCCACGCCTGAGGGGCAAACAAACAGCTGTCTGAGCGTGCAGTCAGAGGCTGCCTGGCCACATAAAGCGTCAGGCACGTTACAAGTTACAGCTTCTACAAGAACATCACTCTTGAGTATTTTACTTCCAGCATAACACTGCTTGCTTATTAATGTAAAAAAAATAAAAGGAACATATTTTGGGACTTGTTGATCCACCTCTCATTCAAGAAAGATCAACTTCGATTTCTGCTGAGATCTGACATAGTCTCTCTCCCTACATCTCTGGGAATATGCCTTACAAACTCTATCACAGGCAAGATTAATCTGCAGCCTGGAAAGCATCGCGGAACAAAGAGATTTGTCCTACACCGTGCACATGTCACTCAGGGCTAAAGGGCAAGAATTCAGTGTTTTAGTGCTTCTGCAGAAATGTCAAGTGTACCTCAGGGGCTGGGGTTGTTGATGCCAGGGGGCACCCAGGCTCTCTGGGGCCACTATAGGGGCAGACAAGCATACATCATGCCCCTTGGCACCACAAACAGAGCCAGTGGCAGGGCTCTTCTCTCAAGCACTGAGCTACTCGTCTCATGTCCTTAGATAAATTGCTCATCAATTAAAGAAAAAAGCTGGCTATAGCACAAACGAACAGAGGCACAGCACAGTAAGAGCAAACTATGTGATGAGGCTCACACCTGACAGGGCAGTGACTAACAAGCTCTTACAAATTCATTAGTTATTACCCAGATGGAAAATTGGACTTTAATCCATAGTCATTTACCCCAGAAAGCACAAAAGGGAGCACTTCAGAAGCAGTTAAAAAGTTACAGAAAGGGATAAGCTTGTCTTTTTCCCCCCCGCTGTAGGACACTAAATATTGAAATATAGCACTTACCATAAAACCACGATACCCCTATGGCCTCTATCAAAACTCCAAATAAAATTGAAGTTCCTGCAGCATAGGTGTCCAGAAGTGTTAGAACATAAATCCCACCCTGCAATCAAACATTGGCAACTGTTCAAGCACCATAAAAATGAATAATTGTATATAGCGTCATACATGTCAATAAAACAAAGCTAAAAACTAAAAACTTTTAGAACTCCCTTCAATACATTAGGCAGAATTACACACACAGGTTTCAGATGCAAAAGCCGGGTGCAACAACAATTAAATAAGCAGAAATCCGATGTCTGATTTGCCAGACCTCTTTTTACTGTAAATGTCTATACCTAACACAACCAGGGTGATAAGTTTCATGTGTCAAGCTGTTTTTTCTTTCTAGTTTAAGATACCGGGAGATGCACGTAGTCATTGGACAGTCAATCATACAGTATGAAAAGTTATGCTTGACGGTAGTCTTAATGTTCACACCATCATATACTCTATATGCCTAATGTATAAACCCTGGCTGGCAGTTTATAATGTGTTGAGCAAAGTTATTTGTAATAAGTTTAAAAATTACTTTTTTTAAATGAGTCATATGCTATAGTGGGGATCAGTTACATGAATGCATACTTATTAATATGAAGTAGTTCAGGTGGGGAGCTGCGTCATCATGTATAGGCTGCAAAGGAACAAGTAATCTTTTTTTCAGCATGGAATAAACCTAAGAAAGAAAACAACATTGCTCACACCTGAAGAAGGCCCCACGGCCTAAACGTTGTGTTTTCTTTCTTCTTTTTTTCCAGCATTGAATAAACCTATTACTTGTTCCTTATTAATATGAATACTTATTTTGACACTTGAAGGCGGCTCCACATCTGAAACATTGTCCCTTTTCATTTCAGCATGGAATAAACCTTTACTTGTTCCTTTGCAGCCTACGCACGCTGATGCAGCTCCCAACCTAAACTTCAACACTAATCCATTACTCCTTTAAAGCAATTTTCTTCAACTACATATTAATTTTAAAAAGTAATCCCTTAGACAAGTAGCCTATAACAACTGAAATGCAGTACTTTCTAAAAGAAACTTTCTCCAACACAGCCTTGCATGAGTAATTGAGCAGTTATGTACCCCTGAAGCAGATACTGCAATGGAGAAGTTTATATAAACAGAGTATTTTATTGAACCCTCTGCTTCTTTCATGATGCCAAGTCCGTTTTAGGAGTCTCACTGTAAAGATGAAACCCCTCAAGTGACAAGTAGTCATCGCTTGAAAACTCCAAACAATCTCTTAACCGAGACAAAGCCGGCCTGTCAGAGCTATCAGTTCTCAGGACAGGCCAAGTGAACAGCACAGAGAAGCCTCAGAGGGGGAGCAGCTCTGGAAACCTACTTTTGTAATGCAGAGCAGGGCTACTAAGAAGGTCCCAAACGCTGTCACAAAAGTAAACAGCTTCCTGTTCCTCTTGAAGATTTTGAAGTCATCAGTGAGCCCTGTGATGACTGCTTCCATGCCTCCCATCTGAAGAGGAAAGGAGGGGGCAGGGGTGAGAATGGGCAGAGGGAGGTGGAAGGTGCCACAGCGATGGGGACCCCAATTCTGGTCCTGGCCAACTCAGGCTCTCAGTTACACAACTGAACCCTTACATTTCTCCATATCAAGATTCAACTGAATTGCTTGTTTTTTAGCTCTTAAAGGCAGAGGATGCCTGTCAATATTGTATAGCACTACAGTATATACCTGTGAAATTAAAGCCCAAAATTTTGATTCAGAAAAAAATATAAATATTATCTATAAATAATCTTAATAAAACCCTATTTGTAAATATTATTAATTGCCATTTCTTTATGTGTAAAAATAAGTTATTTCATGCTGTGGTAATTACAGCGAGCTGGAATGAAAAGCAGCAGTTGGGTGCCTCCAGGAACACAACTGGGATCCCCTGATCTAGGCTTATGAGGGGAAACACACAGCTCATTTCATGCAATTTATAGGGCAGAATTCTCAATGCTGCGACGAAGGTGTACTGTGAGTAATACCCCTGTAGGATATTGTGCCAAAGATTCTTGTCTTCTACATTTTACTGTCACTCTAAAAGTTTATTCCAGAAGGTTTTGTTTTCTAAATTCAAAATGCTTAAATAGATACAAAAATCCAAACATCTAGTGCAGCTATAAAATAGCCAGATTACATCAGACTGAAGTATTGTACTGAATTGTAGAGTTCAGTCACACCAGCAACTTAAACGAAAACATCCTTTTTTTTTTTAAACTTGGTTTCGCTAAAAACAGGGCCTCACATTGAATTGAAATTAAAATGACAAAAGAGGTGGTTGTGCTGTAAAAATCAAACCTATAGCTTAAAAAATGAGACTTTGCTCACAGAGCTGTCGATGCCCAGAGTCAGCAGCATTATGAAGAAGACTATTGCCCAGAACGTCGACCCTGGGAGAGTTGAAATGGCTTCTGGGTAGATGATGAAGACCAGACCTGCTCCTACATTCAAGTGCAAAGAGAAAGAAACCAGTGTGAGCTTTCCGCAGGCAATCTGGGCTGTGGCTCACACGCAACAACTTATCAGCTTCCAGGAGGATGGGCAAGAACGCTAAGGGGCAAGTACCTTCAGTGGCGACCTCCTCGATGTTCACGTTGTGTTTTTTGGCCATGTAACCCAGGACAGAGAAGATGGCGAAGCCTGAGAAGAAGCTGGTCACACAGTTGACTGTGCTGGTGAGGAGGGCATCCCTGTACAATGACAGAGCAGATTGAGGGAAAACTGTGTCTGTCTCCTCTCCCCCCTCCCACATATCGCACCCCCCCTCCCACCCCATCACACTGCACCCTCCCACCTCAGGGGGCGGCAGAGGTCTGGAAAACCAGAAACAGCAGCAGTTTAGCGGAGGGCTAAAATGCAGGTGCTTTAATTTGTAGAGAAGAGTGTCTTTACTCCAGCTGCTCCCCCAGGGCAATTACGGCTAATCTAGACCTGTCACGGGACACCTAATAATTCTAACGAGCAAAACACAATACATTTAGAAATGTAAAAGATGTTCAGGTCCCAGTAATCTTCCTTTCTTTCCTTAATCCTTCGGTTCCTATGAAATTGTCTTCTTCTGATAAGTCTTGTTTCACACTGATCATAATAAAGGTAAAACGGATTTTTACATATATTGTTTCACGGGTACAAATGACATGGTAATGTCTGAAATCTCTTCAGCCACGTTGACGGATGCATTTTTTTCCCTTGGTCATTTGAAAGTTGTCAACAGGAGGCCCCCCCCGCCCCCCCGGGTTTCGGGGGGTTTTAGGGAGGGATCTCTCTCCGTCAGGAACGCCACAGTGGTCTGTTCACATCCGATTACTGCTCGGCATCTTCAGCATCCGCTTAATGTCACTCGGCCGGAAGGAAAGAAAAGGGAAAATCCAGAGAGACAATAAAACTGACTGACCTCATCTGCCCCCCTCACAGAAGCGGGAATATGTCTTGGCGCCTCTCATCAGCGCAGGGGTGCAACGAGGTGAAGCGCTCCCATTTCGAGCTAGACTAGCAGGATGAGCTTTCGAAATGCGTTCGGATAAACTGGGCAAAATGCACAAATTTGCTTCGCGGGACTTAAAAATCAAACCTCAAGTTGCGTTTCTTTACGCCTTCTGCAACTGTTTTAGGATGAAAACAAGATGGCAGAGTGCCCAGGAGGGGATGGGCTGAAGGATAAATTAAGGCTGTTTTTCCGAGGAACGTCAAGACATCACTTCACATTAGCGTCGTGAAGGACTCCCTATCGGCACCAAAATTCGTAATTAGGTAATTGCATTGGGGGGGAAGATAAAGAAGACAAACAAACAAGTAAATAATGGTCTGATAAAGCAAGAGGCCTCCGTGCCCCGAGGCTGGCCTTTAATCAACAGGTCCGAAGTTTCATTAAAAATATCCACAGGAGGCTCTTCAGGAGCAGCACAGTCAGCCAGCTTTTGGCCAGTTTTCCTTAATGACAGCGTATGGTAGGCCTTACAGATTTACCAGAGCCATGGCATACAATATCATGCAACCTGTTAGTGCTGTTAAGGACCAATAAGTGACACAAACACCATAAAGATTTCATTGTAAGAGGGTTCCTGGAAAGGGGACAGAAGAGCACAAACACAAAATGCCCTCTGACATGTGCCAGGAGTACTGCCCCTGTTAATCACATTAGGTTATGGCAGGAGCTACACTACAGATTCACATCGCGGCCTGCATCACTTTTTTGGATATAGTGCTGCCCGTGGCAACGTGGCTTAATTGATAAAGAACTAAAACTCGCACAAGGCTAAACAAATAAGATGTACATCTGTGTGCATGAAAGGCTCTTCTTCCAAATGACATTAACCATCATTATCACTAACACCTGCATTCTATCCCTGCAATGGCTTGATTCCCTAAAACCATCAATGACTTAATACGATGCAGTACTGTAGGACTCAGGGTTTAAAAGACAATCCTTTCATATTACAAGTGGGGATGTAATTTTTTCTTGTTAAAAATCTTTTTTTTTTCCCAGCAACACCAGCATAGCCCTGGCTTAGTGTAAAGAAACACACACTCACAAACAGGGAACCTTTTTACCGCACTCTTTTTTCTTAAAGGAGTTAGAAGCTATATTTCGAGAGGAAAGGACAAGCCCACCTTGTGCTACGAAGGCAACTTCCTGTCCCTGTCCTGACTGCTTCAGCAGTCACCCAGGTTGCTCATCCCAGGGAATACTGTAATCCCCTACGCAACCACACAAAAGCATTTTATTGGTAGGCGATTATTGGAATTCCCAAAAAGACTGAATATTTACTCCTGTGTGCAGATTTATGAATTCGAATAAGTATGAAGATGTGAATCAGCGGTTTACTTGGGTAAATATCTGAATGCAATCTTACCTGTAGCAGTTATTGTTAAATTTATTATAGCTGGCGAACGCAATTAAAACCCCAAATCCTGCTCCAAGGGAGTAGAAGATCTGAGTGGCTGCATCAATCCACACCTAAAGAGGCAGTCCTCAGTTAGTAAGCCTGTCAACAAACTTGAATTCACATTGAATATTCCATTTCACAACGTTTAACTCTCAACATCAGCAGTAACGTTTGAGTACAGCCGTTTCATAAACCAACAACATGCAAACCGATTATGAAAACACCTGGATAATCCTATTTCAGCGCTAAAAAAACACAGAAAACCGGAACCATTCAAGCTGAAACATTAGCAGATTCCTGTGAGAACTCAGTTCAATGACAGCACGTACCGTAGCATTATTGAGCTGTTTGAAATCAATGTGGAGGTAGGCCTTGATGCCATCCATAGCTCCAGGGAGCGTGATACCCCTGATGAGGAGCACAAGCAGTACCACATAAGGCATAGTGGCTGTGATATAGACCACCTGCAAACAGACACACAGTTCATTAGTAACGGGGAGAAAGCACACCAAAGCACCACTGGAAAACACATTTCCTCCCTGCATCAACTGTCCTCTCCTCAATGGGATACCTTTCCCTTGCCTAACCGTGATCTCGGGAATCGCTTGGAATGTTCTGTTCTGATGGGCTTGGAATACTGTGTCCCAAAGCCACTTACTCAGTGCTGCACACCAGCAAGGAAAGCTCTCCTCAAGCCTGACGTACTCTTTTGCAGGACTGTGCTTTAATGGGTCGGTGTGAAATTGGGTTAGAACCCTATCCTGTTCCTACCCTGTGCCTCCTATTGACACAGGTGAACTATTAGCCTGCAACAAAGACCATAAAAGTTAGGTCTTGGAAAGTAACCTGAGGGTAATGGTGATGTGGGAGGGGGTAGGACGCCAGTTTCAACCTCCATGAAAGGAGGTAGAAATTAGCTGGGATGGAGTAGGACGCCAGCCGTCTCCCTTCAAGCAGAAACAAAACAGATACAGCTGCTGTTAAAGAGCACGGGGCGCCGTCTGCATAGATGCAGACTCATATCAATTCCTTACCTTGCCGGAGGTCTTCACGCCCTTCCAGAGGCTGAAATAGAGGATGATGACAACCACCACCAGGCACAGAGTGAGCTGCCAGCGCGGCAGGCCCAGGTCATGGATCCCATGGCTCTCGTGCACGTGTAGCACGCCACGCCTGAGGACAGACACAGACGGGACACCGTTCGTACGCGAACAGCCACCCTACAGAACGCAAGCTGAAAACCTCAAGACCACAGATGGGCTCAATCGGCAGGCGTGACTGTATTGTGCTTAACGGCAATAACACGTTACATGTTCTAATGGTAATAACTACAGAAAAAATAACAAAAACATGTACTATGCAACAGTACATGTTTTTGTACTGTTTTTGTACATGTTTTGCCCTAGACAGTATTTTCCATTGAGTGCTTTTGATTATCTGTGGCCATGAATGCAAGATGGCTCAATTAAACTTTTCTTGGCATATATTTTGCTGCCATAAGAAAGATGCACAGTGACAGTTCTTTATCACGTCAGAAGGCCTGCCGGTTCACAGTGCAGTATGAAATAATCAAAAACAAGTGGTAAACTCTAGTGTTAGCGCACTTGCTTCCCACATGCTTCCTACTGGCAGCTGCTATTGGTCCTTTAGCATTTCTTTTCAAACCTTTCTGCCGCACAATCCCATGATATGTGGTGTACACTTAAGTCACATTCTCTGCCCTTAGTCTACCAAGACACTTGTAAAGAAAGACAAGTGCCTTTACCGAGACACTTCCTTTGTGCTTGTATTCACAAAGGGAAACTGAAGATCCTGGTTCATTTTTGTCCTGCGGTGGTGCCTATATTTAAACTGTTTATCAACTTTCCTCCACTAAAAGATGTCATAATTCACATTTTAGCTTGTTTCTGGGACTTATAACACAGTTTACCACACAGAGAATGTTAGAATCTAAATATATTTCCTTTCACTGCAACTTCGGCATAGGTCTTTGTGCTTGACTGTGTTCCAGTATAATCATAATATTATGAAGAAGTAAAATTGGGACATTTTAACGAGTTGGAAAGAATGTTGCTCTTAAAATCGCCAGTGTTTTCTTTACCACCTGCTCAAAGTGCACGGTGTCAAACACTGGAAAAACTAGGAGATGTCTTGGAGGAACAAGACTCAGATAAAAACCATCACTTTTTCAGCCTTCTCCAAGAGGAACAGTGTGGAGCAATTGATCTAATATATAGTCGCTGGCATAAATACTTAAAATAAGAAGAATGGTAAATGCTCAAAAACAATAACACAACAGATAAATCAATGTAGTTACTGGAATAAAGAATCACTAAAAATGCAGTTAAAAGGTGGTTTTTCCGGTAATACAATGCTACTGGGAAGAGTTTCTGGATGGGCGTGTAAGACGAGACCATGCCAGGATCCTAAAATTGGGGATGCATAAAGTCCTTTTTTATGACAATGGATCTAATTCCAGCTCACTGTGAATATGCCCGGGATAAACAGAGTCTAAGGAATTTCTACACCAGAAAAAAGCCAACGATAATATAGATTCATTAACACAAATCCCTCACAGAAATTCAAATTCTAATAACTACACTTCATGATTTTAAAGGTCAGCTGCTAGAGAGAACATGTATATCACATAATTGAAATTTAGGGCTTACAACTCCCAAATGGCTCACTATTGCGACATGGACTTTCTGGTCTGTATTGACCTTGCAGCTAGTGACTTCCTTTTTCTCCAGTCTGGTGTAGTTTTTCTGGACAGTGCAGCAAGTTCTAGGTGCATTCCTTTTCCTCTTGTACATCTGGATTCTTTCGCGGATATCTGATTAAAAACTTCCTCACTACTTAATCTTTCAAATTCATCGCAAACAAGGCCTTTTAATATTGCCAGTATTTTAGGTCAGAAAAAGTTCAAAGTGCTTTATGAAGATATATAAACTAACTGAAGAGTTAAAAGGTAAAATTCCAAGGTTTTTCTTAGAAGGGGAATATGGGTCTAGACTTCCCAAACTTCTGAGTTCCTAGAAATACAAACCTTCCCAACAAAACATTTACCTTTTGATTAATCTAAACAGTGGAAAGAGTCTCCACTGAACTGGTCTTTGTGTATGGACACGTTTTCTGCTTCAATTCACACGATGTTGGTTAAAAGCCAGAAAAATCTCAGTTATTATTAAGAACACAAGGCTCCAAATGATCACCAGAGTGTTTCCTTCAAACTGAATCAAAGTAATGTTAAAAAACATTAATTGTACACACAACAGTCAACGCCCTGAAATGCTGTTCCACTTTAAAGATTTACAACACTATTTGTATATTTCGGGGTTAGAAACAATTGGCATTGATGAGTATTTTAATCCCACAATGAACATGGAGACTGTACAGTGCTTTCACAAAATTCACGTTTTGGTGCTTAATTGGGAATTTAAAAAAATAGCAATATTGTCAATTCATTTTTTGTTACAGAGACTTAAGAACTGGTCTGAGAAATTGGGACTGCAGTTTCTGTTTAAAATGAGTGATTACTACTTTTGTAAACCAAAGGCTACAGTAGTTTTTGGCACATCAGAATAATTATTTTCACTAGCAGCCTTGCAAACCTATACTACTGGCAAACAAATGCTTTGTACATTCTCACAATAGAGATTAATTGACGTAAATCTCATTTAAAACACCAGCTGACTGTTTTCTTCTTTGGTCCTTTCCCACATTTCCTGTGGAGTGCGTCAAGAGTCCCACTCAGTAGGTCTGTCAGTGCCAGACACAGCTGTCTCCAATATGCAAGTTAATTGGACTAAGAATAATAAATCCATCACTTCTTGTGTTTTTATTAAATGTATCCATTTGTTTCCTACCATTTCTGAATTCTCTACCATACTGTCATGGTCTTCTCGATCGTCCAAGTGCGAGACGTGACCCACAGTATTTCACAGTTGCTACAGGACAGTTTCTAGACTTCCTAGCAGAGACTCCTACAAGCACATTAAACAGACGAGTCAAAAGAACTACCGAACTGTAAAAGAGAAAATTAAATGCAGAATGGTTTTGCTCATTCCTTCATACTTTGAAAATGGATTTTAATGGCCAAAAGAGGGTATTTCCGTTACAAATGGACTTTTAGATTTTCAGAAATATTCACTTTCATTGTGCAATTTACACACATCTCAGCAACACAGAAACATTGTCCTTTGTGTCTAGGTCCTGCAATACACATTGATACTGTAAATTGCATAAAATTTGATTCTGTATACATCATTTTTTCAAGTCATACTTTCAGGAACACTTGTTGCTGAAATAGCCTTATGACTGCTGTGACCACCAGAACAGAAACAGCATACAATTGAAAGGTTTGAACACTTTTCTGTGCACAAGACCCTAGAAAGTACCGCAGAAGCAGTGTTCTACAGGTGTCTTAATGACTGCCCTGGCCTTTCATGCTTATATTCTTTGATGTTATAATGGCATTGAACTGTAGGCAGCAATCAACGCAGATCGGTTACATCAGCAGATCAGAGCGTTTTTTAAATGTTGGCATTCCTGAAGTCCTCTCTGATGGACGTCCACTTTTGCAGAGTCCCAAAGCAGCCCCGTCTGCACTTTATTTGCAACTTAAGAAGATTAATTTTAATCAAACGTTGTTCCCCCACTCTCACAGTACCAGTGGTTTCACAAATGAAAGAAAATGAATGGAATAAGTAAAGAATCTACTAAATATTTATTAAAAGAAATGATGCCATTAATCATTAACTGCAATTTCCCTCACGGGATCAATAAAGTATCTATCTAATCCAGAACTTCATTGTAAAACTATCGATGACTTTCACCCTTGGCAGAACAATTCTGTTGGTAATTCATTTACACTCATTCTACATATCCAGTGAATTGGAAGTCCTCCGACTCCTTAAAAATTGAAGCCGAACCATACATTACTAAAGTCTGTTAACACCTGCTTTGACAACATTAATTTAGTCTTTGCACTTACTGCTTTCTTATTCCGCAACTAGAATGTTCCAGAGGAATCTAAGCACCAAGGCTTGCAATTTGTTCTTATTAAGATCCTCCGAGAGGTCAAGCATGCAAATCATAGCTTGCTGAAGTAAAGCAGTTAGGGTACAGCAATGGTTGATCTGATCAAACCCTGTTATTTCTTACCATTATTCTGGTCAATAGATTGAAACTGCAGTAGGAGTGGCACCTGTCTGTTGCTTCTGCGGCCAGCCCAGCACAACAATGGGCCTTAAAAAAGCCCTCTAATAGCACTCCCAGGCTTCATTAATATGCAATTGTTTTGTTTACTACAATATGATTACAGGGCCACTCCGTTGTTTTAAAAGAACTGAAGGTCAGTAAAAAGGATAATGAGCTCTTTCTAAACAAGTCTATCAAAGGAAATGAAGGCTTCCCACATTCTTTCACAGTGTGAAGATAGCCAAGGAAATTGCAGCTTAAAGTCCCATTGTGTGCGAACCAGCATACAGTACATGATGGAATCTACTGCTCAGCTAGGACATTTTTGATTTATTTATTTTTTGCATAAATTAAAACTGGGCAATCTAGGGAAAAATACTCTCCAGATTCACATTCCTCTCCAGGCAGATTCAGCACTAGTTACCGAATGTAATGTGTAAATTAGCCGTAGAGTGCAATAAAATATTTTCTAGAGAACTGATTCACAGATGGTAAAATTGCAAATATTGTTTTAAAAATTATTTTTGGCCCTAAATGCATAGCTTTTATTTGCTCTATATTCAACAGTTATTTCAAACCTGTATTGGGTAGATTATGGCTGTTTAACAATGGAGGATGAAATTTATATGATTTAATGTCAGCAAATATGAGAAACAACTCATATGCTTAAGCAAAGTTTAGGTGTAAAACATCCTTGGGCACTTTTTATTCAAAATTAAACATTTACACATCTGGCAGGTGAGCTGAAAAGCCCTTTGCACTGCAGGAAAAACCTTGTGTTTCTCCTGAGTCTCGTCTAGTGATACGAAGTGTCCGTTTACTTAGGCGGGCTGGCCCTCTCCCAGCACATGCTGCTGTTCCATCAAAATAGCCCAGAGTTTACACAGTCATAAATCCCCATCTAACCCAGGAAAAGCCCAGATCCCTACAAAAACATGTCTGGCTCAAATATTTAAGCCCTCCAACAGTAACGGTTTCTAATCTCTCAGAAATCCCTACTGGAGAAAACAGGACGGGTGTCATGTTAGAGAACGATGCCCCGGTTTGAGGTTGGGTGTGTCCCCATTCACATTCTTATCCAGGACCTCTGGTAGGACAAAGTGCCATTAATCTGGAAGCGTATGCGCTCTCACACGAGCATGCAGTACAGCTGCCCTGATCCTGTCACACATGGCCTCCTGCCCTGAGGGGGGGCGGAATTTATTGGTACAAATTGTGCCACTGCCTAGCCGTACGTGGCCTGTTTCTAAACCTGGCATATTTCAAATAGGATTAACAATGCTCTAATTAAGAGGTCCGTTCAAGCCGTGCTTTGTGCATCGGAGTTGTGGTGCTCATTATGAATGAAGAGATTTACACTGGACAGATCCATTGAGAAAAATTTACAAGGACCTCCTGGAGATGAGCACAGGAGAGCACATCATGCTTTCCTGGGACAGACTGCTACCGGTAAAACTGAGGAGCATGCACTCCCACACAGTTCCGGAATATTATCTCAGTTTCTGACTACGTCAATGAAAACTCTTCTTTGTGTCAGCAATGCATGCCTCTGCAACACTACAAAAAGCTCCATTGTTCACCATACCTAGTTTCCAGAGGTTCCATTGCCAGTTCTGTGGAGTAATTCTGCTGGCTCTGGTTTGTATGGTCTTTAACTGAGGCCAACTGGGAACAAGGGGCTCACTACAATGGCATCTGCTATAGCATTGTAAACCAAATGAGCTGAAACTCAGAGGAAATTCTCAAAATTGCAACAGCAGCAACAAATTAAAATCACCCCCCCCCCCAAAAAAAAAAAAAAACATCACAGAAAGGCACAGAAAAGGAAAAGGCTTTTTTTTAGTCTCTCATATAACTGCTTCTGACGTACTGTAAGTTTTACACATTTGTTTGTGCCAAATGATTTGCACATCAGCTGCACGATAAGAGTAGGCATTGTCCAAGTCATTTTACAAACTTCCTCTGGGGTGCATGACCAATCTTCAGACAGGCAGTGCAAGAATTAGATTTCTTTGAAGTGCAACCGGATAGGAAATTCTGAATTTATGAACTTCAAACGCAGCAACTAAGCTTTTTTGATATGCTTACAAAATCATAAACAGTTAGCAGAGATTATTTTAAGAATCTGAGGACATAGCATGAAAGTTTTAATGATGACCCACTTAGATATCCCTCTTTCTCCCTTTCGACAGCATTTTGTATTCATTGTCAATATAAAAAAGGGAGTATACATTACGCAGGAAGTCAGACAACGTCTTCTTTAAGGTTAGCAGCAATTTGGACATTGAAGCTCTAGGCAAATGGACAAACCCATAACCATACCATACTGCTTTCCTAAATAATAACTGTACTTGAAGTCCCAGGAATCACATGCTCTTCTGAGTATAAATACACGGGTCACACACAGGAGTGCAAATGGCTGGAACTCAAAACTGCTGGGTGGTCATGAGCTCTGTACTTGTCAAAGTGGCTTTAGGGTTGACCTTTCAAAGATATGGGTCATGCACTGCGTAAATCTCACACCTCCCAAACTGGTCTAGTCAAAAGTTGCTATTTTACACCTGCTACAAGTACATTCCTATCCTTACTTTCAAAGCAAATAGACCAGAATACACCAGATTTTTTTACAGCTTCAAGAATGTCTCAGACCCCGACTATAAAAAGAAGCCAGTGTTTCTGTTGGGCATTACCTCCCTTTAAATCCAATCAGGAACCCGATCTCTGCAAGGAAGGGTCCAAAAGAATTCCCTTTCGGAAAAGGGGACTGCTGTTCTGGCAGCCTCTTCAGCGCGCACACAAGGGAAATGAGAAACCCCAGCACAGACTGTGCGTCTTGTCCTCAGTGCATGTACACAGAGACCTTTGTGGTTGAAACAGCGTTGTGGCAATTTACGAGCTCATTGCATCATCACAGTGTCTAGCCTTTCCCGAATATAGATGTGAAGTCATAGGGTCCAATTAATCAAAAAAGCTAAATTATACAGGTGTTCCACCCAAAAACCAAGACTATGCACAGGTCCAAGTCTACACAGACAACTATTCCTGAATCTCTGACTTCTGAAGGGTCAGCAAGCCCAGTGCTTGGAAGATGCATTTACTCTCTAGTCTGAAAAAAAGAACACTTACAAACTTTAATACCAGAGTTTCTAAACATTTAACGGAATGAATGTGCATGGTAATGTGGAATTTTTGTCATGTTTTAACAGGCTTATATGAATTTTGTTGCTTAGCTGTGATTTTACCTATTTATATCGGACTACTACTGGTAAAACGAAGGAACATGCAGTCCAACACAGTTCTGTACTGCACCTCTAATTCTTTAAAACCTTTTAATCTGTTTTTGCCAAGGTGTAAGGCCAGAATTGATCAGATATTGGAAGAGCCAATAAAACATTTGTAAAACGCTTCGAGTTGAGACCTCATTACCAGGAGCTCCTCTGCAATGACACGTCCATTCTCTTGCATGTGCTGTTGGTTTTTCATGGCTTGGCTGCTGCACATTCCTCCGTCTGAACAGCTGAAGGGTGAATAGACAACATAGCAGAAATAGGGCACTTACTCATAGTATTCTGCAGCTGGTGTGTTCTTATCTTTGGAATATTTGGTGCCATTGGTTAGAAACGAGACATTGAAAACCTTCGGATCGGTACAGTTCACGCTGTTCCAGGCATTCCCACACTTCAACCAAGGAAGCTCGTGAGTGAAGGAGGAGAGCAGATAGTACAGAGACCAGGCTATGATGACGTTGTAGTAGAATCCCACATACAAGGCTATAATAATCACAGTGTAGCCCACACCTGAAAAACAAGGAACAAATAACCGGCTGTGACCACACTGTCGATGCCTGCTAACTGTGGCCCAAGCCACAGAATACTTTCACTTAAACACAGGGATTCAGTGTTTTTTTAATAAAGAGACTAAGGGATAAGTTGTGCATTAAAAACATCTGAAGGACAGCACAGAGTGCAAGTCAATGGCACAATAGACCCCGATCTTTACTGGAGGAGCAGAGCTGCAGTATTCTAATCAGGGATGTGACAAAATCATGGCCATCACCTGGCACTGCAGAGGAGGCTACAATGCCAACAAGATACCAGGACCTGGATTAAACCAAAACTTTGGCCCGCCCACCAATCGGGAGCTCCCAACACAAAGAGACAGCGTTTCATTTGCAAACTAGTCCTTCAACGATTTACACTTACAAACGTGGAAATTGGTGGGTGACAAAACTTGATGTTTCCTAAATCCATCACAAGATATGCACGTGTAAATTAAAAGTTAGTAATGCACCAAAAGCAGCCAAAGCCAAACACTTTACATCTCTCAGCAGTAACACCTCATCTAAATATTGTATATCACTCCTCTTCAATGACCAGGGTGGCTTTAGGACTGAAGACATGCCCTCATGCAGATTCAAGGAATTTTGAGATTTTGATACTTCTCTGATTAGCATGCCCACAGACATAAAACCCAGATCATATTCCATGAACCTCTACAACAGAGAGGCTTCTATTCCATGCACAGCTGGAATTACTGTAAACTGTGGACTGAAAGCCCTTCAGCCATTGACTAATTTCACCACAAATTATTACCAAATGCATCAGTCCTTTTGTTGATCTTGTTTATTCAGGGTTAACGTGGGTGGCAAATGCATTGCTTTTGCTGAGAGATGGATCAAGTAGACATTTCCCCCCCCCACTCCCTACCAGAAGAAGAAACAAGTGGTCTTTCAATCAGGCTGTTATGTCACTTAGTGACAGGAAGTTAACATTAATCAGGACTTGGGCTGCAGGTCCCTGTGGATTTGTCTCTGTGTGAGGTGAACCCTGGGAGAGGGCTGTGTTCGAGTCCCAGTGAATGGGGGGTGGGAAATTTAGGGAGAGGAAAATAAAATATTGGTTGGCTTTTTATTTTCAGCCCAGTCCAATCACCTGGGGCCAGTTCTTCTTTTGTTGGCTTGGTGAACAGTGGAGCCTTGTGGGAATGGGGACTATGGGGTATGCATCAGTCTCCACACTCTCTCTCAAGCCTAAGCTGCTGGCAGTCAGGTTATGCTGGAACCAGTGAATCCAAATCGAAGCCCGGCCATGAGTTAAATCATGATCAGGACAGTGGCACATCGCTGTCACAACACCAGGCTGCCTTTGTGAAAATGAGATTAAAAACAGAACTAGCAGATGGAAGGTTACTCCCTGCTTCGAACACGGAACCCGGAGCCGAGCGCCTTTTTAACATACACCCCCCCCCTTTCCAAATCTGCCTGCAGCTTGTGTGTGTCTGGACTTTGTTTCATTGCTATTTTGGTTTGAAATTGACACAGTCAATTATAGGGACAAAAGACACACAAAATAGAACTTGATAAGACACTTTTTTTTCTGCAAGGTGTATATTGGTCACATTCGGTGGACCATCAAATTTGGTGGTTTTGTATTTCTCCACTTGGAAAGGATGGGCGGCCCAGATTGAATAGCTGGTGTAGAAAATGCGCTGTATTAGACATATACAGTGGTTTGTTTTCACTTAATATTATTTGTTGGCATCTCAATGGAGCCAAAGAATGTTAGTATACTATTGTTAAACTCGAAAAGTATTACGATGGCTATGCTCACAGCTTGCAGTGGGCCTGAAGATTACCATCCAGCTCATCCCTTTACTGGAGCTCTCTCAATCCGCCCTGTATGAGCAGTGCTCGGGAGCTTACCTTTAAAAATCGGGCAAATCTTCCAGACTGTAGCAGCCCCCTCTCTGTTGTACTGACCCAGGGCTAACTCCATGTAGAACAGGGGCATCCCAGCGATGACCAGAAACAGAACATAAGGAATCAGAAAGGCCCCTGAAAGAAACACAGTGGCACAATTTGCATTGCTTGTTCTCAAACAAAAATGTACAGGGCCGCCATGTCACTTTGCTCAATAGAATGCATTTCAACTTTTGGAACCAAAGAGCCCATCTGACAAGAGTCAGCAAAGAAATGTAGATAAGTCAGCTTGAGCATCCATGTCACACGGCTATTCAATAAATCTTTTAACTTGATGTACCAGTAGAGATCAACCTCACTTGCAAAGACAGCCTGGAGGCCCCTTTATAGACAGTAGCTGGACTATTGACTGGAGCACCATCACACCACAGATTTGAACCCACAGTTCTGTGGTCCAGAGACTGCAGCCGCTACGTATTAAAGAGCCTTCTATAAGTGCTGATCAAATCTAACCGAGTACAGTGTGCATTTGGCCTGGATCCTGCATCACAATTAATAGGACAAAGAGCGGAGTCTGTCATTCAGACACTTTCAGCACCCAGAGTGTAGAATCACATGGATGTCACATGCACACACACAAACAAGCAAAAGAACAAAGGAAAAACACATCAACTGTACACATATAAAAACAGATGTCAGCGTTAAAAGGAACAGAAACACCAGCTCTTTTTAATACTGGCAATGACACATTTCATGGATTTATAGAGATTTAAACCCAAATACAACAAGATGCCAGAAAGGGTATTTTCTCTTTTCCCCATGTGTTTGGCATTAGGCAAGATGGAAAGGCAAGCTTTTGAGTCTTAAGATCTTTTTTTTTAAACAATGAGAGGTATGCATATACAGTACAGTACATCAGGGCTGTCCATTCCTTTTCCTGCAAGCTTTCATTCCAGCCCCAGTCTTCACCAGCTAAAGCAGCTGGTTACTGGTTTAACTGGACCAGCCTGACAGCTTCAGTCAACTCTTTGCTTGCTGCTGCTTGAAACAGACCTTGAACACTTGTAGGACCAGGACTGGACACACAGCAGGTTAAATAAGCCTGGGCTGTCCACAGGCTGTAAGACTACTGCTCCCCAACCCACTGGGACATTCACGAGAGCTCCTCTGGAGGGGACAGGGTCTCTTCTGCACACTCTTCAATTCTCTCATCTGTCAGCGAATCTCAGGATTCCCCCACAGGGTGCGTTTTAAAGAGTCTTTCACAATTAACTACAACTGATAGCAATAGAAGGCTTGTTTCAGGAGACCTCTCTGTCATTATTACAGCGCAGTTAAACAGTTCAGATGAAGAGCTATACGTTTTAAAGCAGAAAGGCAAACAGTTTAATTTGACGCGAAATGAGCGTTTCAAGCACAGTTTAAACTAATCTGCATTGATCAAATCTGTTCCCCTTTGTTTACATTATTTTTGTAACAGCATGTTTTGCATTAGCGCCAGCAGCGTTTCAGTGTAAGTTACATTACACTGAAAGACAATTTAAACATTTACATAATAAAGTAATACCCAGTTCCTAATGCGTTTGATATTACAGCACTAAAACAAAACCATGGCTGTTTATAGAACACTAACTTCTGTGCTAATTCCACTCGAAGAATATTTTTAGAAGTACTTAATTTAAGTGCTTTGAAACAAGGAATCCAAAGTCTGGGCTTTGGGCATACAGTCTAGGTTTTCCAAGTCTCCGAATGTTTTGTGCTGCTCATCGTTTCAAACGCAGGGAGAGCAGCGCTGAATTGATCCAATTAAGAGTTGATTGGACCGGTTTAGCTCTTCTCCGTAATCTTAAACTGATAAAGATTTTAAACTGACCTAGAAAACTTGCGGGAAACCCCCTTTAAAATGTAATTTATTAGGCCTGCAAGTTTCAGAGAAAATTGTGAAGTGTTTCAGAGCAAGACAGCGCAACTATCCACCTACCTCCCCCGTTTTTGTAACACAGGTAAGGGAATCTCCACACATTTGCCAGGTCCACCGCAAAGCCAATGACCGAGAGCAGAAAGTCGATTTTCTTGCCCCAGGTTTCTCGGTCGACCTCCTCGGAGGAGCCGGTCGGGTACGAGATCCGCGGGGGGGGGACGATGGAGGAGCTGGTGTACTGGACGCCGTTCTGTTCCTTCACCAGGATCAGCTCCACTTCCTTCTTCTCCACGTTGTTGTACGGCTTGAAGGGGGCCACGGAGGACAGCTTGTGATCGGCCAGGACTTGCACGTTCATCTTCTCGGCGACCCGACGCCGACGCCGGCCCCGCTTCGTCCCCTCACAACGGCACGAAGTTGGCGGTGATGTGGAAGGACGAAGGTGATGCGGGGAGAGAAACTCCGGGCAGGCAGGGCTTCTCGGGAGCTGAAGGGGCTTGCACCGTGGTCATCAGCTGCGGAGAGCACAGTGGAAACAAGTAGTATCGGACGAACAAGTGTTGCTCCCGGACAAGCACATATCAAGCAGGCTACTCGGTTTAGACGCGAGCGCGTAACTAATGTACAGAGCCAGGGTACGAGTTTAAAGCTAAATTTCCTCCGCAGCTATCAATACAAGTAGCAATAATAACCGCCATTGATATCATTTTTTTTCTCCACAATGATATTGTGTGACCGCTATGTAGTCCTTTAATCCACAAGTGTGTTCTGTACAATGTTACCACTACCACGAGTTAACATAAAGCATATACATCCTAGAATTAGACATACTGCAAAGCCCTTGCGCGTTAAATCACTTGCGAACGCCGTACGGAAAACTCGATCATAGCGCACTTACAGCGAGGCACCCACAAACAGGTAATAAATCCTGAAACGAGCAACTCAGCCTCAAACTCGAAGTTCCTAATCTGCGATTCTGAAATAAATTACTAGAACACGACCCATCAGCCAAATTTTTAAACAACTGTCTTTTAATAGTGGTTAAAGCCAGCTCTATAGGTTACTGCCTTGAACCTTTGCAGCCGCATAGAGCGTTCACATTCTCGCGTCTGCCTGTCACGACCATATGGACAGCAGCAGCAGCGTGCTGTGGATTCCTGAAACTTGCCACGATGACGAGTTACACGGAGAAAAAGAAAAACTAACACTGAAGCCAAATGATTTAAAAAAAAAAGAGAGAGAGAACCTGGCCGACGCTAGCCGATTTTGTAATTAACGAAGTCAATCAATTATCTAGTTAGGTGTCTCAAGTGAAGAATTAGTTCATTGTAAAATGACGATCTGGAAAACCGCAACTGCTGATGACTGAAGATGAGAAAGCCATCCATACTTGACAAGACGCGAACAACACTCCACAAGACGCAGCTCCGGTGTTGTCTGCCGAATGAGTGTGAGGAGTTTCAGCCCAGCCTGGTGAAACTTTAAGACTCGCCTTCCGAGAAGCTGGAGGCGATGTAAATTCTGAGCTTTTAAATCGGGCTCCACTCTCTTCACGTGATATTCTATAATTGCACATTTTCCCCCTCTCTCTCCCTCCAGCTTAGCACTGTCCCACTTGCTCCTACAGCGGGCTGATTTGATACTGGCACACACAAAACTTCCACAGTCCACGAGTGGGCAACAAGCGCACTTCGTGCCGGTTTAAAGCATGAATATTTACTCAAAATTTCGTCTTCACATCAGCTGTGTCTTTGTTACCAGTAATTTACCATGCAGCCTACAGACAATTTTCAATTCGAAAACATTACTTAAATTAGCCCCTTTTCCATCCAAAAAGTTTTTTTTTCATATCTACTGTCCAGAAAACGAAATCATAAAATTGTAGATATTAATTCTACTCTCTATCCAAGTCTCAACGTCTCAATATCGATGTTTATTCTAGGCATCGATATTGAGACATACCCCCTGTATACACTATTACTGCTGTTAGCAAAACTACGAAGGTACGAGAACACAAAATTAAAAACAAGTTTTTTTGCACTTTATTGACATTGACTTTACATTTATCAGTACTTCCCGATGTCGAATATATCGAATTACAATTTTCCAAGAAACCTGTGCTTAAAAGCACCATGTTCCGAGCGTAATTGAATTTTTCACCAGGGTGTGCCGTTGGACTACGTCTTGTGCTCCACATGGGCCCTTCAGGTCACATCTTAAATGCAATGAGTGTTGTCTTAAGATCTCCATCGCTTCTTGTACACAAGCTCAAATGGCTTTGTTTTGCTCCGTGCTGCTGGCCTACCGTTAAATATCGGATGCGGGTGGAAAGGTGAAGCACTTGGTCAGAGCTTCTCTGGCGTGTTTTTGTTGTATGTCAGAACCACGCTGATGCCTATTTCTCGGCTGTAGATATTTATTTTTTTCCAACATTTTCTTTCACAAGGAGGTGCATCACAAAACGCAACTCAACATCTGATGATTTTCGTGTTTTGGGAAAATGGAAGGCTTGTTACTGCACTAAAAGCATGTTTGACCTGAAGAAAAGTTGAATAGAGACTGCACCTCAAGACTGAGCACTTCTGAGACTGCACACCCATAAGAACAACAGTGAATAAAATGCTATTGCTCAATTTGTTTTTGAGTTCAAGTGTTAAAATAAATGTTAAAAGTCATTTTTATCTCCAGTTATCAATTGGGTTTTTCCAATATGAAATTATACCATCCTTTGTAATCATTTTATAAATGAAACACCCTAAGGAGTGTCTTCTAACAAACCAGAATGAACAAGTTATTCTGTAAAACTACAATTTGAAACTCTGTACAAAGTAAGAAAGAAAATAGCCAAATGAACTTACAATGATATTGTAAACTGAACACAGTAGACTGAGCACATACTCAGACAGCTGAACACAGTAGACAGAACACACAATCGGACAGCTGAACACAGTAGACAGAACACACAATCGGACAGCTGAACACAGTAGACTGAGCACACAATCGGACAGCTGAACACAGTAGACTGAGCACACACTCAGACAGCTGAACACAGTAGACTGAGCACACAATCGGACAGCTGAACACAGTAGACTGGGGACACACTTGAACAGCTGAACACTGTAGATTAAGCACACACTCGAACAGCTGAACACAGTAGACTGAGCATGCACTCGGACAGCTGAACACAGTAGACTGAGCACATACCCAGACAGCTAAACACTGGAGACTGAGGACACGCTGAACACAGTAGACTGAGGTGATAGTGACTCGTTTTGGGTGGATGTATACTGTATTTAAAAAAAATAAAACCTGAAGCATAAGAAGACATGTGGTTGTGCTGCTTTTTAAATTCAGGACATGACAAACCACTGCAGCAGTCCCAGTCCTGTGCACCTGTGGTATCAGAACACCCCACGCTCCATGTCCTTCTCCCGCTAAGAGCCGGCCCAGTGTTGTTAGTCTGTCTCCCACAGCAGATACTGATGTCCAGTATGGGGCCGAGCTGCACGAATTCCTCTCAGCCCGCAGGGCGCTGTTTGCATTTGGCCAGTTCTTGATCTTGCTAGATGAGCTTAATGAGACATGAAAACTCTGCTTCACCGCATGAAAACAGCCGTTTAAAAGGGTCATGTTGTTTATAAATCACAGAAGACCTTATGCTTTGTGTCGGCTTTGCTTTTCAGCTTGCATCACTGTGCTCAACATTTTCTTAACCCTCCGAACAACAGGGATCACAGTCCTTACAGCAGAGGGAGAGCTACGAATCTTTGTAGGAGATCGAATTGTTCCCACGTCAACAGGATTGTCTAATTACCAGCAGGAGTTACAGTTTTTTTTCCAATGAATTCTCTCTTCTGTTCCCGAAATGGAAAGTTTTATTACACCTGGGCACACGGTATTCCCATTAACTGGCCTGGGAGAACCTGAAGACAAGTTATGTGCTATGTGCTGTGTATTAGAAGTGTGGTTGCAGAGCCAGAACTCCAGTGCCAGTCCAAAGACAGACAAGCCTGCTGCTGGGTGTGTCCCAGTTCTGCACTTTTCAGACCATCCACAGGAGGTGCTATATTGGGGCATGCCAAGACCTCTCTAGCAGGCTACTGTCTTTGTGAGTGGTCCCGGCATGGGGGATTAATGTGGAAGGCATGAGCAGACTAGCAGATAGTAGAGTAGAGGAGTTTATTGCCGTATTTAAATGTACATTGAATTCTTATTCACCCCGCTGTCTCAGGACATACACAGTACAGCAGACAACACAGTACAACAGACAACACCGCACAATGTAGGCAGTACATTACAAAATGGTACATAATAAATCATGATAGCATGTGGAGTCAATAAACAACCTGAACGATAAATACGTGATAAAGAACCATCAATACGTAGTAGTGAACAAAAATACTTTGTAGTCAAAAATCAAAAATCCATACTGCAGAGGTACATTGAGTTATGGGGCATTGCACGGTTAGCTGGTCATGATGGGCGGTGCTGTAGGGTAGAAACTGTTCTTAAGTCTGGTGGTCTGTGCTTTAAGGTCTGTACTGCTTGCCAGAGTGCAGGGGGGAGAACAGATTGTGGCCGGGGTGGTTGGGATCCTGAATGATAAATTGGGCTTTATTGTGACAGCATATGGTGTGAATCTCATCAATTGATGGCATTGTAAGTCAAATCCTATAATCCTCTGTGCTGTTGCCACAACCCTCTGTAGAGCGTCTTTGTCATGCATTGTAGTATTGCTGTACCACACAGAGATACTACTGGTGAGGACACTTTCTGTGGTGCTTCTGCAGTAAGCTGCTTCCCCATCCCAATTACTGGAAGGCTGGGCTTACGCTTGCCCCCTTTTTTAAGGGAGTATGAGGGTTAAGGAGGCTGGAGAGTGAATTTGGACGAGGAAGGCAGGCAAACCCACTGCAAGGCTCCCACTGTAATTGCTACGTTTTGACACTTTGGGGAGCTGTGAGAATGTAGACCGCACAGGGCAAGTCAGAAAGTCTCTCTCCAGGAATGAGGGATGAAGAATCAGAGCTACAGTCGGTTGTGTCTGTGAATGATGTTTGAAATAGACATCCGTACGATCCCGGCAGGAAAAAAAGTTTAACATCAAAACGGTCCGTTTTCGAATTGAAGCTGTTCTTTAGTTTTTTTTTTAATGGCCAGTGTGGGTTTTGTATGGATTGATGGGTGACTTCATGCCTAAAGAAGGCTCAACCACTGAAACATTTTATTCCTTCTTTCTACTGTTCGTTATGGATTTAACCTTTATTTGTCCATTAAGGAATGTGATGAGCATACTGTATTGAAGCACTGATTTTTACCCTTTAAAAAGTTGAAAATAAGATTTCAAAACTACATCAACAGCTTCTGAGTGGACACTTCCACATAACCTCCTGGGATTTCCTGCTGTGGAAGATCACTTTGTATGACGCTCGTTTAAATTTACTGCACGTCTCTCTCCGTTAGGCTGTGGGGTCTCAGTTTTCTAACAAGGCATTTTAGGCAGTCTATTTATTTTCTGTGCTTCTCTTCTTCTTTAATAGGCTGTGCTGTGTAGACAAAAGGGTTATAAAGGTAGTTTAATTTCACTCTAGGGGCTGGATGAATTCATGCTCTTCTCTATTGAGGTTTCCTATGCTTACTGTTTTAAATAGGCATTGAGTCACACACTGCCCTCACAGGCTCGGTGCTTCATCACTGTGAGTTTACAAAATACAGCTAAGTAGCCAGGAGTGACTGGAGAGAAGGCTCCCAAAGTCAGATGTGTACTATGGTTTATGCAGAACTTACAGCCAAGTTACAGCAGCCCCCCACATGTATTATAACTTTGGGGAACTGTGAATAAAGTCTGACTTAGCAAAGGAAATGCAGATGTAAATTTAAAGCAGAGTGTTTAACATTTCTGGACTGAAATATCAGTAGCACAGATGTAAAAAAAACAATTATTTACTGTATATTTCTACATTCACAGTGTTTAAAAGTGCATGTCCTGGGTAAATAAGTTAAAAGTCTGTTCCTTTTACTTCATTCTTATATGTTTTGATATTCTCTGGCAACTTCACAAAGTCTCGGAAAGCTTATAGAAACGGGGTTTTATAGTAGAAAAAGACAGATGCAAAACACTCAGGACCACATAGTCAAGGGGAAAGTCAGAGACGTGTTTGAAGATCGAATGTAAAAGATTACTAACCACAAAAGATGTAGCAACCGGTGTAAGAATCAATAAGCCTGAGGTGTCCAACATCAACACGTTCAAGGGAAATGGGATGGCAGTTTCCCTATCAGGAGGAGGATGTAAGAAAGTATTATCCAAGTGTGGGGTCAGACATGGTCTGGGAGGCTAACTGACACCCAAGTTCAATCAGTGTGTCTTTAAAATAATCTGGTATTACCAGGGCACAACAACCTCAAGCCTTATTGTCACAGCCTCTGGTAGAACATTTGTGGCTAGAAAAACAGAGGCGCAGGTTGCACAAGCTGGAAAAACATGAGAAGTTTGTCTTGGAAGAGTGGGCGAATATCTTTCATGAGAATAATAAGAACCTATTAAATGACACTGGAACTTCTTCTTTTGGACTTGGGTAAATAGGTAGTGATACAGTATGTGTGCCTCTGTATTTTTATTGAAAAGGCTCACCAGATAGTATCTGTCTCCGGTGCCTGAGGTCTGGGGAACCTCTTACAGGAACCTCTTTGCTGTGAGGCTGCAGGCGAGACAGGGCCCTGTCAGACAGCTCTGTCAGATGAGGCGGAGACAGGACGGGAGGCATTCTGCTCATCCATAGACGGACATGCTGTTAATTTACAGGCCCCTCACCCTTTCCCTATGAGCATGTGGGTTGCAATTAAAAAACTGTCATTGTTAATCGATTCCAGTGTCACTCGCTGTTTGACTTTCGTCGCTTCTAAATAAGAACAGTAGCACAACAATGTCTGGCATAGCAGGCGGAAAAGCTGCACATCTGGATGCTGGCCTGTTACCAGAGAGGTCATTCGTGTTGAACACCCCACTTCGGTTCAGCATGTGAGCGAACATAGAAAACAGAAATGTGTTTCAGCTGGCAAACTGGATGTTGTGGGCTTCATTTAGTGAATGGCATCATGTGGCTGTGATTCTCATCGGCCTCTTATCTGCAGTCAGTGTGAGGTCATGTGTAGCTGGTAATGGCAAAGCTCTGCTACTGTAGGTGAGCTGGACATCTGTAAGGTCTTTTTTTTTTGCTTTTGTCCCTGTGCTGCTGTGTGTTGCCTGTGGCGCCCTCTAGGGGTCAGGTTTTGACCCCCCCCAGCATGAGCTCTTGAACTTCAGGGGCGAAACAAAGGGATTTCCTCCTATTGTTATTATTTCACTGTACAGGCTACAGGCAAACTGTCGGACTCTGTTACGGCTTTAAGTAGGAATTTAAACATTGGGAAATTCATGGGAGAAGATTTGGAACCATCATATCTTTGCCTTACAAAAATCAGAGTCATCAAATTATCCACCCGGATTATCTTCCCAGAGTGCACCACACGGGCATCTTCATGCCACCCCTTGTAGATGCCGACACACTAATCCACTTCCAAGGCCAATAAAAGTATACAATTCATCCAGGGAGGATTGTGGGCATGTTTTTACACAATGTTTGGGAACGTCCAGATGGTTTTGAACCAGATTTCCTTTTTATTCACAGTGCTAAACAAAGTATTCCCTGCACTGTTTGAGTATTTTACTAAATAATAATCTCCGCCTGTGGCATCAGCAGAAAGGAATTGATTGACTGGTGTCGCCAGCAACTACAGCTAAATACATGTTGGCACTGTGTTGGGCGCCTCTGTCTTTACTCCCCTGGCGCAGGGGTTTAATTTATATGGCGCTCTCTGCTGCGGAGGTGAATGAGGTGCCTGACGAAGGAAAATCCCTCATTGCAGTCCCTCTGGTGTGTGTGTGCTGGGGGCGGCTGCTGTATTATACTGCTCTGATCTTATATTTTTGAGAAGTGTATAATGGGGATGTGTGTATAATACTGTATGTCCTTATGAGTCTCACTTTCTGGACAGGAAAGCAGCCTGCTTGAAGCACCATTGTGCATTAAGCCTTTTCTGCAGTATGTGCTGTTCTCACAGCTCATGTCATGCGATCTTTTCTAGAAATTTGATTTTTCCTAATGGAAGAGGGGGCCATTTTGAAGAAAATTTGCCCCCATAAATAAATTGTTCTTCTAAACTGTTGCGCCCCCCAAAAAAGCATGTAAAATATCTCCCTGAATATAGGCCGGGATTTAGATGTATTCTTACTTGGCAAGCAGGCAAGCCACAAGAACAACCACAGACATGCTTTCTGAGCCCAAAGTAAGATAAAAGGGATGAAGTGACTCAGCATCTGTGAAGTTTTTTAGGTCTTTTAACTAGAAACGTGGTCAGGGACGCAGACTTTGTGCCGATGAGACTTCTGTTTTCATCGCTGCAGCTGCCTGGAGATTCAAGCAATCAGGCCGGTAGATCGCTCATGCATGATTTCAGAAACGAATAAAGCAGAAGTCTCCAACTGTTCCCATGACTAACCAGGAAATTTGCGGTGTGAACTTGAACTGGACACAGTAACAGCAGTGACGGGCTTCAGAGTTTGGTGTGTTCAGTAACAGCAGCCCTCTGGAAACAAGAGCCCAAGAGCAAGAATTTGCTAAAGGATGGGACACGAAAGACTGCCGCACCTCGAACACCTGACTCAGCCAGCTGTCTCTGTTCTTAACACCTGTTTGAAACTGGCTTTACATTTGAGAGCTGTGCTGTAGATTTCATTTTGGATTTATACATGTAAATATTTTTTTAACACTATAAAAGATATTGATGTAATTGGACATCCAGATTCCAGCTGACCTCTTAAATAAATATATATATTGAAAAGAAATATTTGTACTATCAAAGGGGATTTGCCCTTTGAAGTGAGTTACTCTCCAATCCCAGCAAGTGAGAATAAATAGTGAAAACTATGTAACAGGACACACAGATTTCAGACAACTCCTTGCATGAATGTATATTTTAATTGTGCGCTCAAGAAAATAGAATTTCCAGATTGTAACAAAAAATATTCAGTAATGCATCCGTCCAATTAGACATTTAAACTGTCAATAGTGACCTTTACTTTATACAGGCTTCTGATCTGCCTTGTGTTCTAAGAGGGTTATCAAACTCTGGGCAATTGGATTCTTATTGTGAGGTTGTGGTAAAATGAAACCAGATTAGCAGTGCTGATTGTCTGCAATTTGACTAGACAGGCTTTCCCCAGGCGGGGATGAAATGGATATAGCGAGATTTATACATCGAAAACAGACTTAATTGATTCTCTGTAACCTTATCAATTCAGATTAAATAAAATGAAACTGATACACTGACTTTCTCTTATAAAGGTTGCAACAAATCAAACCTTGAAATCAGGGCTGGTACCACAGCAAGGCTGTAATTAACAAACTGATACTCCACTATTTCATTGCCTTTCTGTTTATTTTAAAGAACGATGAAAACAGGAGGATGAAATCTCTCATCCCCAGACAAATAAGGAAGATCAAGAGTACTTCCCTGACATCGGAGGGGATGTTGTATAGTCGCATGTCTTCCAGCATCGAACTACTGCACAATCCCAACTGTGCTTTCTAGCTTTCTAGCTCCCTCTTCTGAGTACAAAGGGTACTTCAAGACAGGGTTTTTTGAGTCATCTAGGAAAACCGAAAACATTCTTGAAGACAGAAACAGGACAAATTAAAACTTTATGTTCTTTATATTCTTGTAACCTCAACAGCACCTTTCAGTCCCCATCTTATCCTTGTATACATCGCTTATGAGATATTTTATTCTTGAAAAATAACCATACTAATACAGGAAATCCTGTAAAATATCATGAATATATATTGCCAGTTGAACAACTTTCTTTTTTGTATAAATTAAAAGAGAGTATGGTCTGACAGCTTTGCAGTCATAATACAATGAAAGATTAATGGTAGTAAAAGTGCAGACAGAGTTATTACAGCGCTCTGGAGTTAATTCACCACTTTCCAGTGCTTTTAGGAAAGTGCACACAGATGGCATTGCATATAACCGAACAGGACACAATGGTTTAGGCTCATGTAGAGTGAAAGTCCATGGGGTATGGGGGGTAAGAGCCACCATTTACCTTGGCCAGTCTGACACTGGAGGTGGAAGCAATGTGGTCAGTATCATGCTCCTGTATCATTACCCCTGGAAGGATTAACCCCTGGTACTCACTTGGAAAGCAGGCTGAGTGGACCAGTCATCTGGAAGGAATTAGAGCAAGCTCCATCGCTTGACCCTACCTGGGATTGAACCCGGGACCTTCCGGTCAGGAGCCAGACATCCTTGCCGTCTGAGCTACCAAGGCTCCTGATGTACAGGGGCCTCTTGTAATAATACGCTAATAATACACTTCCTCCCCCTTTGCGTTGGAGCACAACTCTCCAGGCCGGTGGGGCGCAAGTATCCGTGTGATCCGGCTGTATCCTGAAGGCCAGTCCCAGGAAGGGGAAAGAAGTGAGGAACAGAGTGGTAACGGTGCCCTACTCAGACTCACTCAGCCTGTCAAAGTGTTCAAGCCAGAATGAACCTGCTCCCCAGACACTTCCCCCTGTGTTAGTATCCACTGCCATCTGGTGTTCACCACAGACCAGGCACTGCGGTTCACACTCCTGCAGCAGGTGGCCATGCACTGGGGCCACCTGGTGGACAAAGATCATCAGGAGGTTGAAGCAGCAAGTCTCATCTCCACATGTCAGGGTATGATCGTTGCCTGCATTCGTGGTTACAGTATTTATCAACGTTACTATGGATTAGTAGATTAGAAGCAGTGCATCCGGTGACCTCCAACATCCGTGATATAAAACATCACATGCACAGAAAAAAATCAAAGGATTCTCTCATTTCTGTCTGCACATCAATAACTACAGAACACCAGGGCTCAGTCTAGGTGCTTCCAACACAGCTTTTGCAAGAGGCAGTGCAGTACAGAGTTAGGCCCGTTACTTACTAAGAGGTCAAAGTCTGCATCTCTCTGTACTCAGCCTAGGCTAAGAACTCTGTTAAACTGGTGTTCTGCTTGTGGCTGCCTCCAGCAAAGCTCTAGGTGAGTTAGGTACCCATGCATTTATAGTCTATAAAGAAGCAACTTTACATTTTAAGGAAAATCGTTTTGTAGTAAAGTATTGTTATGCAAAATCAAGACAGAAGTTCAAACCTCCCTGTACAAACTGAAAAACCATGTCATCCCAACAATACCTATATTTTATTTATAGCAATGTCTCATAGTGCAAAGATAAGATGGATATGATATTTTTAGCTGCCCCTTTTCATTAATTGAAGCACAGGAAATCACTCGGGGGACAAAAAAGCACTTAATGATTTAACTGTTTATTAAAAACATTGCTTCAGCCCATTTAAAAACAGTAAAAAAAGAGATCGATATGTACAGAGGGGAGTGGCAGTCCCCACATCAGTCTTCTTTCTTGTCCGAGGCGCTGTCTTCCCCGGCGCTCTCAGGGCTGACCCTGCTGGTGGGCGGGCCCGGCACAAGCCCTTCCCCCTGCAGGGCGTGGTACCGCTGGAGCTCCAGGTAGGTGGTGAACAGCTTGGCGTACTCGGGGTGGGTCAGGGCAAAGGCTTTGAACTCGGCTGAGGGGGACAAAGCAAAAACAAAATGCTGGTATTAGAGCTTTGTCTCCACATCATGCCATTTGAATTATACAACTGCATTAATTAATAATAATAAAAATAATAATAATAATAATTGCTTACACTTATATAGCGCTTTTCTGGATCCTCCACTCAAAGCACTTTACAGGTAATGGGGTCTCCCCTCCACCACCACCAATGTGCAGCCCCACCTGGATGATGCGATGGCAGCCATAGTGCGCCAGAACGCTCACCACACATCAGTGGGGAGGGGAGCAGAG